CTGTTGTCTGTGAAAAAAGCGGTCAAGCCGTTCTTACTGAATACAGCACAGCAAGTAAATGATCCAAGCTAGTAGACTTTTATTGTACCAGACACAGTGCAAATGGCAGCCTACTGCTATGCCATGCATACCAGCTGTGTACAGGTCCTTTACTTAAGTAAAAGTAACACCACACTGTGAAAATATTCAGCTACAAATAAAAGTCCTCAATTGAAAACCTTACTTAAGTAAAAGTATGTAAGTATTAGCAAAATGTATTTTGAGTAAGTATGTAGTGTATATAGTGGAGTCACTCTACCTGCATGTGGATCACAGACTTCCTGTCTGACAGGAAACAGCACATGAAGCTGGGGAAAAATGTCTCTGACTCCCAGACCATCAGCACCGGATCCCCCCAAAGTTGCGTTCTTTCTCCTCTGCTCTTCTCCCTGTACACCAACAGCTGCACCTCCAGTCACCAGTCCATCAGGCTCCTGAAGTTGACACGTCCCTCACTGGGCTCATCTCTGGTGGAGATGAGTCTGCCTACAGATAGGAGATTGACCACCTGGTGACCTGGTGCAGCCAGAACAACCTGGAGCTAAACGCTCGGAAAACAGTGGAGACGGTTGTGGACTGGAGGAAGAACCCAGCCCCACCCGCCGCCATCATCCTGTGTGACTCCCCAGTTGACTCTGTGGAGTCCTTCTGCTTCCTGGGTACCATCATCACCCAGGACCTCAAGTGGGAGCTGAACATCAGCCCCTCACTAAAAAAGCCCAGGAGAGGATGTACTTCCCCCCGCAAAAGAGGAAAATCCAACCACCAAAAAAGATGATTGTTATTAACATCATCACCACACTCATCTAGAGGGGGGGGGGGCCCCCCCCGGGGGGGGGCTGCCACAAAAACAGTTTCTTTCCATCTACAGCTTGCCTCATTAACAAGGCCCGGTTCCCCCAATGACACCGACTCCTGTATATACAGTATGCATTGCATTAATGCACTCCCGCCTTCTGTACAGTCTTCTTATCTTTTCTTATCTTTCTTATCTTTATTTATTTATATTTTTAAAGTACTTTATTCTTGTGTGATTTTTATGTGATTTGTATATTTTTGTGTGATTGTATATTTTAAGCACTATTACACCAAGACAAATTCCTTGTATGTGTAAAAACCTACCTGGCAATAAATCTGATTCTGTTTTTGGATTATTATTGTTGCATTTTACTTCTCCCTCTCATGGCAGTGCAACATGGTGGGCTCTGTAGATATGAAGGCCTCATTCTCAGCTAACACAATTACTATTAGTTTTAAGCAATTATACACATTATTTTCCATTTTCTTCAGTAGATCCTCCTAAACCCTCGGTATATTTAACTTGATTGAATTTTGAACAGAAAGCCTCTCATGCAAGTCCAGTCTTGTCAGTCAAGGGTCTTATTTATGCTCATACACATATAAGTTCATCTGTATTTTGTTGTTAAGTCTTATAAATATATGTTTCAATTTACAGGAAGCAGAACAGTTCAGCATTGAGTTGTGGTGTCATGTCAGGTCCAGGATCTGCTGGATGAGCCATTGCAGTGTAAATTTAGGGCTTAGAAGAAGAAGTGACTGGTCTATGGTACAACATTCATCTCATTTAGACAAGTAGAAATCTACGTAAGCATGACATAATTTAGTTTTTCCCTATTCTTGATGTAATAAAAAATTGTGGGTAAATCTTAAAAATCATTGTTTTAATATCACAAATTGTGTGTGTTAATTTACAGAGGGAGCCAATTCTTAGGACGAGCCAATACAGTGGACAGTTGAGGACAGTTGAGACAGGACAGATTGACGGGTTTCAACACTTGTGTCATCAGGGAGAACAGTAGGCCTCCTATGTTATGAGATGGTCATGCAAAAATTGCAAGAGACCAAAGAAAGCAGAGGTGTCCTACGTTCCTCCACATCCAAGTGGAGAAATGAACAACAACCTGGAGATGGAGACAGGGGCTTCTTAACAAAGTGAAAAAGAAGAACAACACTAAGGTGATTAAACATGGTCTGGGGTCAAAAAGTCACAGATCTTTTCTGGTACTCTAAAGGTGCAGAGGCACACAATTTATGTTAACATTATAATGATTACATTCAAGTACCATTTATTCGGGGGCTACAATCTGTGCAGTGCAGCCATCTTGTGTTTGTGTGTTCTACAAATGTTTTGCTAATATTGGCTCACTGTAAAATAGATTTGACTAAATTTAACATAATCTGAGCTCTCCTTAATGATGTTCGTTTTTAGCGTCTTCATCCTGACCAGATAATGAAGTCACTTTTTGTTTCTCAATAGAATTGTCTTAATTTTTTTGGATGCAGGAGGACAACTGCAGTGATGCCACTCAGCACATCCTCAAGATCCTGGTCGTCCATGGTGTTGATGGAGAGCACCCAGTGGATGTGTCCATCATGCTTGGAGTGAAGGAGATGCTGCCAGGATGTGGCAGTGCTGCTAAAGCTTGCACACTGCTAATGGGGCTCATTTATGTCCTCAACCTTGCTTACCCCCCAACGCTGCGCTACACTTTTGAGGTGTTTCAGAAACTTTTCCTGGAACTGGATGGGATTAAGCTGTCCCAAAAAGTACAAGCCTTAAAGTTAAAGCTGCCGTCCAAAATGCTATACAGTTCAACTTGTCCCTGGTCAACTATTTGTGGGAAGTTGACAGTCTTGAATGTTTTCCATTTTGACTACGGCACATGTTCTCCCTTCTTTTCAAGTTCATGTTTATTAATTGGCACTTAAAAGCAGTTCTACTTTATTTCTAGAGCATATCAATGGGAATATGCATGTGTTTTTCATTAATGCCAACCATGTTATATTTTTGGCTGCTGCTTCACTTTGAATGCATTTTACACAGTTGAATTGTACATTTCAACTTTAATGTTAATGTTAGTGATTCATTGGTGTTAACAACAAAATAAAACATTTTATTATATATTGTATTTCAATTGTGTGCTTTGTGGTAAAAGTATAGGCCTATGCATAGAGAAAATGATTACATTTATTTGGTAAAATTGATCAAAACAAAATAAATAACATTTACATAATTGTAGTGAATAATATAACTGCATACAGTAATTTAAAATGTCAAACTGAAAAATTTTTATAAAATTTACTTATTTACTTCATAACAGTAAATATCACAGATATGTAAGATTTACTTAATATTTTGATGACAGGAATGTCTTGTATATGGAAATATTTAATTAACTTTACTCAGTTAAAATAAATATAACTTGTAATGTAGATATAATTAAATAACATTTACTTAATATTTTTACAAAAGTTTAGATCAGTGGTATGCACATTTTACTTGATAATGGCAAGTGAGTTGTACTTCCAGCAGTAATATTTACTTAAAACAAATTTGTGCAAATTGTTACAGAGATTATATTAAGTAAATCTTTCGAGTTGTTTTTTTCGGTGTAGTTTTTGTGGCCTTAAACCACTGCACATGGTAACAACAAATAGATCTAAGATTACACACTTACACACCTACAGTATTTGTGCGTCTACCTGTGGTGTCTGTCCTGCTTGCTGTTCTTGCTCACCACCTCATATCACCTCCTCTCTCCCAACTCAGTCTTTGTCTTTTGTATAATTTCAATTGAATCAGCCAAAGGTTTAACGGTTATTTTCCTTAAATATTAAGAGCCTTCTTTCAAAAATGGATCTCCTCAGAAACTGGGTTACTCTTCATAAATCTAATATTATCACTGTATCCGAAACATGGCTACACAGTAAAATCACTGATGATGAAATTATATGAAATTAATAATTTGGCTCTTTAAATATGTATGTTTAGATATATAATCAAGTCTAATCTACTTTTTTCAGGGATAAGTAAATAAATGAACAATAGAGAGATCGCTAAATGACAAATAATAGAAAGGGAACCTTTAAATGTACAATACAGAAACAGGGAGAGAAAAAACATTCAGTTTTACTGGGAATATTATCTGTGATTTCTCCTGTTTTTCCTAAAGGTATTTTCGAAAAGTATACAGGCGTTTCCTTTACTGTTGCAATTTTGCGGTCAGCGTAAATCCTGTTTTCCTGCATAATTTCTTTTTTTGCCCCAGGATCTTTTCAGTACCTGTCGTCTTGTGTTCCAACTCAGAAAATTCACCACAATTGAGCGTGGCTGGGCTCCTGCATTGTTGAGTACACAGGATCGGAGCGATGTGCTTGGGTTATCATTAGCACATCTTCACCTATTCCCAGTTTGTCCCTTAGAAGCCCTTTCACAAAGTCCACTGTGTCTAGATAGTCCTTACTATTAGACATGTCTTTCAGATTTCTCAGTTTATTATCTCCAAAAGAGTGTTTTTTTTTCTTTCTTCATACATACCCAGTCTCTCCTCTGCCTCTTTCACCTGCTCCCGAGTCATTTTTGAGCTCTTGTTTAAGTTCTTTAACATCACTACTCAGATCAGTAAGGGCTTCTTTCGTCTCAGTCCAGAATACTTTCAGAGTATTTCCTGAAATGTCCTCCCTACATTTCTGGAGCAGTTGTTCCATCGTGAGCTATTCTGGATTTTGTTTGTTTGTTTGTTTGGACTGTCTCTTTTCCGTTTAAAAAAAAACTTATGGCTGTTCCAACAGTTCTGGATCACCACCTCATACCCTTCTGCAGGCATTCATTTAGTTATACTGGTATCGTTTTTTATATTCCAAATGGATATTAATTTTTTTAACAGAATTGACGGATTGATTAATGGAAATAACAATCCATATTGCAACACTTTTTTCAAATATTTAACCCAGGAACAATTTAGGGGGCCAGATTTGTCAGTGCTCAGCAACCTTTGACTATTTTATCTAGAGGTCTAAGACCGTTAGGATGCTCAGCTTCACACATTTGAATACATTTGAACTTCGAGGTATAGTCTGTGCTCTTGCTCTTAGGTCTCTTGGCTTTTCTTAGAAAATCTCAAAAAAGTCAATAATACAAAATACATCACACACATTAATACTTGTGACTTGGAGTATGTGGGGATTCCAGTCATTGCCTTCATTTTCTCATGATCCTTTTCAGAAGCTAGTACATCAAATGTTCCTGATTTAATAATGTCCTTCAGTTTATGGTTTCCTCCCTGAGGTTGTTACATTCCCTCTGTAATCTGTTGTCACACTGTTCATCCTCAGCATCTTGTTTCTTTTTCTCCTCCACCCTCTTGGTCTTCTGTGCTGCTCATGCCTTTCCATGTCTTTCTTCTCCCATTTTCTCTTCTTGGTGGCTGGTGTGTATGAGAAGACGAATGGAACCCAGTCAGGTGACAGCGGGTCATCTGACTTGGCACCTGTAACAATACAATACCGTTTATATTAAACATATGCCTCTGCTCCCAGTTGAGAGGCTCTCGGGCTCTCATGGCTGTTTAATGTAAGGCAAAAGATGAGTAGCAGCCTATGCCATCGAGTTCAGCATGTTGGCAGCAGACGGCGCCTGGAATGCCACTTCCCTGTTTCCCTCACAATCTGCACCGATAATCGATTGATAGAGAGAGAACGAGAAAGGAGCAGAGCTGAGGGGGCAAGCTTTAGTGTCTCAGCACCTGGGCATTCCCAGCCTTGTGCTTCTCCAGCTGCCAACTCTCCGGCGCCCCCCGCTGCTCTAGAGGAACCCATGCAACTGGGAAGAGCTCAGCTCACCCTGGAAGAACGACAGTGCCGTCTACGGGACGGTATGTGCATCTACTGTAGGCAGCTGTGTCATTTTGCTCTTGAATGAGGGATCAATTTAGAAAGCATGCTTTAATATTATATTTATATGCAACATTTCAGTACTACAGCGTCAGGCAAAAAGTTGAAATATTTCTCAGGTAATTATAAGCATACATGTAAGAAGGGGTCTGAGCCATAATCTTGTTCCACATTATTTTATTTTTTTAAATTTTTATTTTTTAAAAGGTAAAAGGGTTTTTTTTTTTTAAAAAATAAAAAATATAAAAAAAAATTTTTAAAATTTTAAAATTTTTTAAAAAAATAAAAAATAAAAAATTTTAAAAAAAATTAAAAAAAAAAAAAATAAATTTTTTTAAAAAAAAAAAAAAAAAATTTTTTATAAAATAAAAAATAAAAAAAAAAAAAAAAAAAAAAAAAAAAAAAAAAAAAAAAAAAAAAAAAAAAAGATTAAATTCTTTAAAAAGTGAAGACAATTCTTGCTTAGAAGTATTGAGTAATGAGTATATTGAGACAAATTTAATTGTCAGATTAGTTATTTATTTTGAGTTAATATTAAATGGAATAAAGAGATTAAGTAAACATGACACTGATGTATTTCTAAATGAAAATTTATGCCTGAAACTCATAGACATTGTTAACGTTCTATAATTGAAGTGTTGATTAAACAGTTAGTATGACAACGCAAACACCGGCCATACTAACTGAAACCTGAAACATTCGATGTATTTGCAACACATGTTTCTACTCTGCTGTCTGCCTTACCATATTTGGCATTATCCACATTTAACTTTGCCTCTGTCAGCTAACCCCAGTCAATAAAAGGAGTTTGTGAAGAAATGACAGCAGGTCACAGACAACCTGTTGCTGCTTGTGGTAAATCTGTCTTCTCTTATGCTTTATACCACTTGAATGTGTTTAGGAAATTATTTATTGGAAATGTAAACATTTGATTGAATGTGTGTTTTTAAATCTATACTCTACATAAAACAAACTGTTATATGTAACTGTAAATATAACTGATTTGAACAGGACTGGTGAATACTGTTGGCAGAGAGGGGGTCAGGTAATGACAACTTTAAAATTTGAACTTTTATTCATAAGAATGTAATATAATAATAATATGTAATATATGTACAAAGGTTTCTCATTCTGTTAAGTCCAGACCAAGAAAACTGGACTCAATAGCAAGAAGTTTTCCAAGTTTACTATGATAGTTCAATACAATTCAGTACTTTTGTTATTGCAGTAACTTTGTATTTGTGTAACAGACATAAGCCGCCACCATGAGTACGGACGCAGAGATGGCCCTTTATGGGAAAGCTTCCATATACCTCCGTAAGCCAGAGAAGGAGAGACTTGAGGCTCAGAGCAAACCTTTTGATGCCAAGTCTGCCTGCTATGTGGTCGATACCAAGGAGCTGTACTTGAAGGGAACAATCCTCAAGAAAGATGGTGGCAAAGTCACTGTCAAAGTCCTGGACACGGAGGAGGTTGGTATCATTAAGTCAGAGTCAGCTGGTATTCAATACAATCAGTCCCTCATTGTGACAAATGTCTTGTTCCAGGAGAGGACAGTGAAAGAAGATGACGTCTCTCCAATGAACCCTCCGAAGTTTGACAAAATTGAGGACATGGCCATGATGACCCATCTCAATGAAGCCTCTGTGTTGTATAACCTCAAAGAGCGTTATGCAGCATGGATGATCTACGTAAGAAAAGCTGCCTAATAAGCAAGAGAAACATTGAAAATGGCTATACCTGAACGAAACATAGAGATAACTGCTGGGTTTCTATGATCACTTTCAGACCTACTCTGGGCTGTTCTGTGCCACTGTGAACCCCTATAAGTGGCTCCCAGTGTATGATCAGGAAGTTGTAAATGCCTATAGAGGCAAGAAGCGTATGGAGGCTCCACCCCACATCTTCTCTGTCTCTGACAACGCTTATCAGTTCATGCTTACTGGTAAGTTGTTACCATAACAATGTTGAATTAATCAGTATATGAGGTTTCTGCTGAGTAAAAATATGGTTATTATTTTTTTTCCCGATTGAACAGATAGGGAGAACCAGTCTGTCTTGATCACGTAAGTTTCACATTTGTTGACTTTGCAGAACATAATCTAAGATGATAAAATTCTTACAAGTCTGTGTCTATACCTAGTGGAGAATCTGGTGCTGGAAAGACTGTGAACACCAAGCGTGTCATCCAGTATTTTGCAACAATCTCAGTTGGTGGAGACAAGAAGAGGGACACATCAAAGGTTTGTTACTGTATGATGATTACAATTCAGTGTTCTTTAAGTATGGAATACATACATTCATTTTCTGACATCAATTTTAAACCTGGATTATAGGGGTCACTGGAGGATCAGATTATTGCAGCCAATCCTCTGTTGGAGGCCTATGGTAACGCCAAAACTGTGAGGAATGACAACTCTTCTCGTTTTGTAAGTATGGAAGGATTTCTACACATGAGAGGTGTTGTTACACATTGCCCATTATGAGGGATATTAAAAATTCCATTGTTCCAAACAGGGTAAATTCATCAGAATCCATTTCGGCACAACTGGCAAACTGGCTAGTGCTGATATTGAGACATGTAAGTAACAGGTCTCATAGTACATACAAATAGTTGGAATTGAGAATTAGACAGTCTCTGACTCTTTAACAACTTCTGTAGATCTGCTGGAGAAGTCTAGAGTAACATTCCAGCTTCCTGATGAAAGAGGCTACCACATCTTCTTCCAGATGATGACCAACCACAAACCTGAGATTATTGGTAAACAGATGTAGTTTTCCCATAACATTAAACGCACTTACATTTTACATTTTTCAACAGTTTATTGAATTTGTTACTCCTTTTTTGATCTACAGAAATGGCTCTCATCACAAGCAACCCCTATGACTTCCCAATGTGTAGCATGGGACAGATCACTGTAGCCAGCATTGATGACAAAGTAGAGCTGGAAGCCACTGATGTGAGTCATCTTCATTTCAAAATATTTTAATGTATTTTGTTCATTAAGTGCAATATTAAAACTACTGTTTAAATGCATTTTCCAAAGTGATTATGTTTTGTTTGGTCACCTTTTTGCAAACAGAATGCCATTGATATCCTGGGCTTTACTAATGAAGAGAAGATGAGTATCTACAAGATGACTGGTGCTGTGCTCCACCATGGTAGCATGAAGTTCAAGCAGAAGCAGCGTGAGGAGCAGGCTGAGCCAGATGGTACAGAGGGTGAGTATTTAATGTCAGCTCAAAGTGAATAGCTTTGGAACAACAGCGGAAGTCATGATGGAAGGTCACAGTCCCAGACTGCATGTATAAATCACTAAACTTTTCCAGATGCTGACAAGGTTGCTTACTTGCTGGGTCTGAACTCTGCTGACATGCTGAAGGCTCTGTGCTATCCCAGAGTTAAGGTCGGAAATGAGTTTGTCACCAAGGGACAGACTGTACCACAGGTAATTAAGATATATTGGTATACTTTTTTTGTTTCCATGCATTTATAAGCACTACATTTACATGTAGTACATGTGCATCAACATGAGAAAAAGAAAACTGAGAAAGTGAATTAGTCCCTTTTACGTTTGTTACATCAGATGTATTGTGCAAGTTATCTCTACTTTTGTTTACCAGTAATCCAGCATTTTACAATTTTTAATTTTTGACTGACTCTAATCCAAATCATGTACTTGTATTTAGGTGATGAACGCAGTGCCTGCCCTGGCCAAGTCCATCTATGAGAGGATGTTCTTGTGGATGGTCATCCGTATCAACCAGATGTTGGACACTAAACAGCCAAGGCAGTTCTTCATTGGTGTCCTGGATATTGCTGGCTTTGAAATCTTTGATGTAAGCTTCATTTCAAACGAGTCATCAGCTGATACTTTTCATGACTGAATCATTCTTATTGTCTGAAAGATATTACACTGAATATTTGTCCCCTCACAGTTCAACACCTTGGAGCAGCTGTGCATCAACTTCACCAATGAGAAGCTGCAACAGTTTTTCAACCACACCATGTTTGTCCTGGAGCAAGAAGAGTACAAGAAGGAGGGTATTATCTGGGAGTTCATTGACTTTGGCATGGACTTGGCTGCCTGCATTGAGCTGATTGAAAAGGTAATCATTTCATTTTGTGATTCTATGTGATTGTTCTTATTTTCACTTAATGTATGACTTAAATACGGAATTTTTTCTACTTTTTTCAAGCCCATGGGTATCTTCTCCATCCTTGAGGAGGAGTGCATGTTCCCCAAGGCCACAGACACATCCTTCAAGAACAAGCTGTATGACCAGCATCTTGGCAAAAACAAAGCATTTGAGAAGCCAAAGCCTGCCAAGGGCAAGGCTGAGGCCCACTTCTCCCTGGTGCACTATGCTGGTACCGTGGACTACAATATCGGCGGCTGGCTGGACAAGAACAAGGATCCACTGAATGAATCTGTTATTCAGCTGTACCAGAAATCCCCAGTAAAACTGCTGGGTCTCCTCTATCCTCCTGTTGTTGAGGGTATGATAGAAACTACAGTATATTCAAAAATATTTCTAAGGTTATAGATAACAAATATTTTTACCTAACTGTATGTATAACTGCATGTGTTCATGT